TGGGCCTCTGCACCCACGTGGGAGACCTGGAAGAAGCTCCTGTCTCCTGGCTTTGGCCTGGCCCAGCATAGGCCATCGAGGCTATCTGGGGAGTGAATCAGCAGATGAGAGACCTGTCTCTGTCTCTCCCTCTCTCTCAAGCAAATAAATCTTTTAATAACAGAAAAAGAGACCTCAAATACTGAGGAGTGAAACTAAGAGTGCACATTTGAAGAAGACAAATGCAGCAGGGAGCAGCCAGTGCTGGTGGACAGTGGCAGTGGGAGCCGGGAACGAGGCTCCTGTGTTCTTACTGAGAGCTTGTTTTGGACAAGGTCAGCTGTTCGGGAGGATCGAGGGATGAAACTGGAAACATGAGGAAGAAGCTAGAAATTGGCTGCCGTTGATATCTTAAAGATTGCTTTATTTTGGTTAGGTGGGAGTGCAGACTGAAAGAGCCCTGTGTACCTTGTCGAGGGCCTAGGACTTCCAGGTGGCCCAGTGGGCTTCTGAACCTCAGAGTTGCAGAGCTCTCTCTGTGCTCCCTGCCACATGGAAGTCCAGAGGAGAACGGGCCTGGCCTGGCGTCAGGCTAGCCTGGGCCATGCCACGCCACGCTGGCCTCAGGCTGGACTGGTCAGTGCTCGATGCCCTGGGTGGTCTGTCACAGCACTGTCTGTCCCCTGGTATTGGATCAGTGTGGATGGCTGGTCCCAGTGCAGGAGTTGCCAGGCTCTACTCTGAGCCATTTCAGCAAATTGGATGGACGGTCATCTCGTTGGTCTGCCCCAGTTTCCCATTTGTGGACAGTCTGGGAGGTCCAAGGCCTGAGCCCCAACTGGGGAGCTGGGGCTGCACTGACTGTGAGGGTCCTGGATCTGGCATCAGGCCAGAAGGTGACGGCAGGTCCCAGGCCCGGATGGAGGGGGCCTGGGGAGTTAGAAAAGTCAGAGTGAGGTGTCGACTGCTTGGGAGTTCTGCCCTCCACCCTTTGGGTGCTGACCAGGGAAGCTGGTGTCCATCAGACAGGGTTTGTGCTTTAGGGGACACTGGTGGAGGGGAGTGGGTGTGGAAGGGGTGCAGGAATAAGTCAGTGAGGGCTTGATCTTTACTCTCTAGACGGGCGCTGAAGTTCTGTTTTTGTCATTGATGAGTTTTGCATGTGTGTGATTGTGGTTTGTGCACTGTCTCGGGCATACCTGCACCACACTGCTGTTCAGATCACCAAACACACCTCATCTTTCTTTTAACAAGGAGCTTTCTTCTTTCACCTTGTGGTTTACTTATTTATTTAAGTTGAGAGAAAGGAAGTCTGTTTATAATCCTGGGTGTTATTTCTGTATAAACCACTGTCTATACAAGGATGTCAGGTGCTGCCCAAGAGAATCTTTTTCATATGGTAATTCTCACTAATGAATCCAGGCCTATAATGTGAAATTTTGCCCCAGACTGCCTCGGATGAACTAGAGGAAGGTATCCACAGTCAGTGTGACAATTCCCTGAGATTCAAAGGAGAACCCCGTGATGGTGTTTCATAACAGAATCAGAGATGCTGTACGTCAGAATACTGATACCAGCAGCATCAAAACAAGTAATTGTTAGATGGGAAAGTGTATTTTTGATACTTGAATTGAAGAGGACTCTCGATATGTCCCAGCGTCACCATCAGTAATTGGAATCTGCACTTCCTCCTTTATTCACTCAGTAAATATTTAACACCCATTATGTTCACAGCACTGCATTAGACTCTGGGGGAGTTACAAAGAACCTAGAAGGCTTGCCTCTGCCCCACAGGGGAAGTAAAAGAACAGTGACATCTAATTGTCATTTACACCGGGCGGCATTCACCCCAGCTGCCAAATACCTTGGTCGCCGGGGGACAGAGGCGAGGCAGCTCCCCAGGGCCAGGGCCCATTGGCCCCTTCAGCCCTTCCTGATCTCGGAGCTTTTGCGTCTTGTCTTTTCCCATCTTCCCAGCGAGTTTGAGAGGCTGTGGCTCAGGACCCACTGTGGCCAGCAGGATTATTCTCTGAGGGGCTGTGATCTGTGCAGCCTGTTTGTTTCTTAGCTTTTCCTGTGATGCCATTTCCCACGACCAAGATCCCCTAATGCATGGCGTTCGCAATCGAGAAGGAGGACGTACACACTACTGTGTTTACTGAAAGAGCTCCTCTGCCTGCAGCCCTGCAGAGCTGCTGCAGGGCGCACACACATGCAGGTGGATGGCTGCAGGGCCACCGCAAAACAGGACAGCGGCCGAGGTGCTGGGCCAGGTCGTCGTCCGTCTGACCGAGTAGCATCTCAGTAAATGTGCATTGACTGAGTGAGGCCGTGGTGACAAAAATGTACAAGAGCTGACTTTAGGCTGCTGTTCATTGAAGGCCTCAAAATGCCTGGGAGAAGGTGTTCAGTTTGCAAGGTTGGTGATTGGAGAGGGTAGGGGAGATCTTTGAAGGGCCTCATGTTTATATTCCCAACGTTTTGTGTGATGTGGCCCGCAGCCAGAAATTCATGCATTAATGCAGCCAGTAAACGTTCTCTACCCTTGTGTGCAGAGCAGTGTTGGGGGACCTGGGGGAGCCCAGGGGGCAGTGCTGCCCCAGCTTGGCTGCCCAAGCCCAGAACACACCCCAGATGGTTGCACTTGCCAGATTTAGGACACAGATATTCAGTATTTTGGAAGCTCCTTGGGGCCTTCTGAGATACAGACAACTTTGCAGGTCAACAACCATAGGAGTTTATCATCCAGTTTTTATATAATAACACTTACAGAACCTCCGTGGCAGGGTGAGGGATGCAGGCCAAGTGTGTGCTGTGAGTCCCGTGAGGAGCAGTGCCCACCATGGGTCAGGCAGGAGGGGTGTCTGGCCACAGGAAGCCCAGGACATGGATGAGACAGGCAGTGCCCTCTTTGACCTTGAAGCCAGGTGAATTAGGATGAGCCTGGATCACATTTGGGGGTTATTGGGGAAGCAGGACCGTGTATGAAGACCTTGCCTTTTATTGCCATCAGGAACATGAATGTTTCCTTTTAAAAGTCAGACTAGCGCTATGGCTGGCGTTCTTGTGAATATGCAGGCTGAGAACCGAGACACAGCGGCTCCCTCAGGGAAGGAATGCTCAGCTTCCCTTCTGGGTTCTCTAGCTCTTAAAATTGCTCCCTGCCCTGACGGCCACAGTGAATATCCCTGTGTGTGCATCTCAACAAACAAATGAGCCATTTTATGGGGGCAGTTTAGTGCCCCAGGGTCTAACGGAGCGCTGAGCCAGTGCTGTGCTTAGGATGGGTAAGGGTGCTTGACCTCAGCCGCTCTGGGTGCTGGCAGACTGAGGGTAGCTGTGGTAAATGGGTTCCCTCCTGGTCACCAGCCAATCAGACTACATGGCCCTCCTTTGAAATTCTCAGTACTTGCTGTTTCTAGTCAGTGTTTTGTTTTTAATTGAGTCTGTTCTGTGAGGGTACTTCAAAAAGTTCATGGAAAATGGAATTAAAAGATAACGTTAAAGATGGGCATTTGGCCTTGAGATTAAGACCCTTGCATCCTGAATCAGAGGACCTGAGGTTCATTCCTGGCTCTGGCTCCTCACTCCAGCTTCCTGGTGATGATGGCTCCAGTAACTGGGTCCGTGCCACCCACGTGGGAGGCCTGGTCTGCCTTCGTGGCTCCTAGCTTTCTGCCTCTGCATAGCTGCCAGGCTGTTACAGGCATTGGAGAGTAAACTAAGGATGGGCATGCTCTTTCTCACTGTATCACTCTCTGCCTCTCAAATTTTTACACTGATCTTAGCAAAAAATGTCTATTTTCAGGCAAGCATTGTGGGGAGCAGGTTAGGCTATCACGTGGGACACTTGCGTCCCATTTTAGAGTGCTTGAGATCAGGTCCCACCTCTGCTTCTGATCCAGCTTCCTGCTCATGCACCAGGGAGGCAACAGGTAATGGCTTAAGTACTCGAGTCCCTGCCACCCCATGGAAAACCTGGAGGGAGTTTCTGGCTCCTGACCTTGTCCTGCCCAGCCCTTGCTGTGCAGGTATTTGAAGAGTGAACCAGTAGATGAAAGATAGATTGATCAATCTCTCTCTCTCTGCCTTTCAAATAAGTAAATAAATAAATTTGTTTAAAAATATTTATTTTGGGGGCTACAGCTGTGGCATAGCAGGTTAAGCTATGGCCTGCAGTGCCAGCATCCTATAATGACACCAGTTTGAGTCTGAACTGCTGTGCTTCTGATCCAGCTCCCTGCTAACGCTCTAGGAAGGCAGTGGAAGAAGGTCCAACTGTGTGGGCCCCTGCTTCCTCATGGGAGACCCAAATGAAGCTCTTGGCTCCTGGCTTCAACCTGACCCATCCCCAGCTGTTGTAGCCATTTGAGGAGTGAACCAGCAGGTAGAAGATCTCTCTCTCTCTCTGTCTCTCCCTCTCTCTCTCTCTGTAACTTTGCTTTTTTTTTTTTTTTTAAATAAATACAATAAATATTTTAATTAATTTATTTATTTGAAAGAGTTACACAGAGAGAGGAGAGGCAGAGAGAGAGAGAGTGAGAGAGAGGTCTTCCATCTGATGGTTCACTCCCCAGTTGGCCGCAACAGCCGGAGCTGCGCTGATCCAAGGCCAGGAGCCAGGAGCTTCCTTCAGTTCTTCCACGTGGGTGCAGGGGCCCAAGCACTTGGGCCATCTTCTGCTGCTTTCCCAGACTATAGCAGAAAGCTGGAATGGAATTGGAGCAGCCGGGTCTTGAACTGGTGCCCATATGGGGTGCTGGCACTTCAGGCCAGGGCTTTAACCTGCTGCACCACAGTGCCGGCCCCTCAATAAATATTTTTAAAAATAGTTATTTGGTGCAAGAAAATTTTGAAATCCATGTATAGTTTTTTTGTAATGTGCATTTTCCATGAACTTTCTGAACATCGCACCTGCACCCCAGAATGTCGTTAGAGGGGTGGATGGAATACCACTTGATACATTCTACGTGAGCATGAGCTGCAGTCCGAGCTTTTCCCTGTCTCTTTCAAACCTGCAGTGTGCCATGCGGAGCTGAATGCCATCATGAACAAAAACTCAGCTGATGTGAAAGGCTGCAGTATGTACGTCGCCTTGTTCCCGTGTAACGAGTGTGCTAAGCTCATCATCCAGGCAGGTAGGAACCAGGCCTTGCCATTTGTCACATTTGCATCGCTGCCTGCTCATCAGTAGCTCATTGCAGATGCGTTTGATCTTAAATTGCTATTGTTTAGATCTAAATTAATTGCACTATCAACTTTGCAAGATATTCCCCGTGTTTTGTTTTTGAATGGTGCCAGGTATGGGAAGACTAATTGCATCCTCTGTGATTCTTAGCATGTTTTTAATTTAGTTTGCAACTTTTTAAACTGCAAGCTGCCAAAAAGCAACACAGGCATTGCATATAATTACTGTCAATTTACTATTCTCTGACATATTGTGCATAGATTAGAGGGGAGGGAGAGAAATGAACTTCTGTCAGAAACAAGGTCAGCTGGGAGTCTGTATATGAAATTTTAATTTGTATCTAATACATGGAAGATATTTGAGGATCTAAACATATTTTTGCATATAAATGTCACAAGACTCAAATGGTTACTTTGAGTTTTTCTTGTTACAGTTGCCATAAATCTACAGCATTGTATTCTGAACGTCTTACCTTTTTCCAACTGTCACATCAAAGATTCAGCTGTCCTTTATCTCCATAAAACTCTCGGTGTGAGATTTAGAGACTTACCCTGTCGAGCCGGATGTGTGGTTTAAAGGGGCTGTTTATCACCCGCCCCACAGCACTCAGCAGGGGCGGGCTGCTGCCGTCCAGGAACAGTGTGGGCTTTGCGTCCTTCTGCTGTGCCGTCCTCGGCCGCCCTCCAGTGTGTGCCTGGGAAGAGCAGTGCGTGCTCTCTGGGCTGGCTTCCTTGTCCCTTGCAAGGCCAGGCCCTCAGGTCAGTGCTGGTGAGTTCGGGAGGAGACAGGTCTGCCGTCCACAGAGCTGGCTGAACTTCTGGAAAGCCACGCACAGCAGCACTTACCTCTGAACTGGCCGCCAGCCTGTGCTCCCCCCATTAGCCTTCTGAGTTTAGAGTAGTTGCCTTGTGAATAAAAACATTTGATTACCTGAAGGAAAGAAAATTTGTTAATCGGATCAAGGCTTGACTACTTGACATGTTTTCACTTTGTAATTGTTAAAAAAAAAAAAAACCATAAAGACTGGAGGGCAGATTAAATATAATCCACCCTCTGCTGTATTAGAAAGCAGCAGATACACAACACCCCCCTATTTCAGTAACTGGACATTGTCTGCAAGCACACTCGGAAAAGGTAATTAATCACAGCCACGACGAGGGCTCCATCTGCCTCTGCGTGTCTTTGACGGGATCTGGATGTGCGGATACTAATGAGGCTCCCATTGTTGCCTTGTAAGGTATAAAAGAAGTTATTTTCATGTCTGACAAATACCACGACAGTGATGAGACCACAGCGGCAAGGCTCATGTTTGATATGGCTGGGGTTGCATTCAGGTAAGCAGGGCAGCCCTAGGGGAACGGGCCATACGAAGGGGCTGATGGAGAAACCTTTTTGACCCTCCCTGCTGATGAATTTCTCCTTGTGAGGCCCGACTTCCACCCTTGGAAGCGTCTGCGGAAATGTGATTGCCTAAGGATCTAAAGATTATTTTAGGGGTAGATTTTAAAGCGCTGTGACAGAAGCCGTCTGAAGACAGTCTGTTTAATGACTGTACTTTAATATCAGGAACTTTCTGGGGCTTAACCTAATGATTCAAGTAGGGAGAAATTTTTTTTTTAACATCTATTTTATTTATTTGAAAGAGTTACAGAGAGAGAGGTCTTCCATCCGCTGGTCCACTCCCCAGATGGCCACAATGGCCAGAGCTACACTGATCTGAAGCCAGTAGCCAGGAGCTTCTTCCAGGTCTCTCACACGGGTGCAGGGGCCCAAGGACCTGGGCCATCCTCCACTGCTATCCCAGGCCACAACAGAGAGCTGGATCGGAAGAGGAGCAGCCGGGTCTTGAACCGGCTCGCATATGGGATGCCGGCGCTCAGGGCCAGGGCTTTAACCCACTGCGCCATAGCACCGGCTTCAAGCAGGGAGAAATTTAAAACCCTCACAAGTTTTGTAATAGTTAACAGCAAACCGTTGTCAATTTTACAAATATAAAAACTGTGCCATAGAAAATTCAGGATGAAAGTAACCTGCCGGGTTGAAACACCAGGAATTCTTTCTCCAGCAACATTTTAAATGGAGATTCAAAATCTTGGCTTTTTACGATTACCTCTGCTGAGCGGATATTGTGATGGTTTGTTTTGCTTGCAAGTAAATTCAGCCACCTTTGATTCATGGCAGAGAATTCTTTTGAGACAGGGAAGCTTTTCCAGGCTCTGCTGTGATCAGCAGTGGAGGACTGTAATACTGGGTAACGTGCCCACCCCGCGGGCTCATCCTTAGGAACGCAGGTCTCTCAAGCTAAACTGAGCCTTGCGAGATTTTACAATCCAAATTATGTACGTGTTCTCTTATTGACTGATTAGAAAAAAAGTGGTTAATCCCCAAATACTGTATTTGTCATAGAAGTAGTAGTGACTGAAAGTTAATGAGTAAAAATAATAATGGGTTTATTTTACGCTTGTATTTTTGGAGCACGATTTTAAGCTATTAAGCTTAACCTCTTAAGCTATATGAGTGGTTTTTGCTGTGGCTAAGCAGCAAAAGGAAATGCACTTTTACTTTCGAGCAGTTCCAGGCTGACTAGAAATTTCCTAGAGAAGAAAGTGAGTGATGGGCAAACTAGCACTTGCATGTCCTGTTGTGTGACTGACTTGTTAGAAGGCCTTTGAGTCTGGGTCAGTCTTGAACTCAGGTAGCTGGAGCACAGACGCGCCAAGCCGCCCTTGCATGCGGGTCGTCTCAGTGTCTCTGTGTGGTGCACATAGAGTGAGCGTCAGCCGAGTCCCGGGACGTTTCTTTTCTCCACACAGAGAATACAGGTTAAGCCAAAGTAAGCAAATTGCTCTACCTACTCACTGGATAATATCTTTCTATTGCTTGTGTATTTTTTTATCTTTAGGAAATTCACACCCAAGTGCAGCAAGATTGTCATCGACTTTGATTCAATTAACAGCAGGCCAAGTAAGACGCTTCAGTGAGTTACGTCTCATGAAAACGCCAGAAGATTGGGACTGTCCCCTTCTAAGGAGCTGCCGATGCCTTCCATCTTGAAGCCAGCACGGCGAGAGCGGATAGAAAGCCTGCAGGACGTGAAGCCTCAAATCTTCCTTCGTCCCTCGCGGCGCACGGACTCTGCCAATGCTACAGAACCCATGGAGGTGGCTTGGAGGGAGCCTGGGGCCAGCCGGCCGGGGCGGGGGCCCTGCACAGGGGCACGGCCATCTGTCCTCCGCCCCACTGTGGCCTGGGCTGAGGGATGGACGGACTGACGGAGGAGTGAGGCTGGCTGTGCGGGATGCACCACACATCGACAAGGACATCTGGCCCAAATGAAGCATGAGCGCCGTGCCCCGGGGGGCCGCCACCGCTCACACCAGGCCTCAGCCCCAGACCAGGCGCCTCCCCGAGCCGAAGTACCTTCTCCGTGCCTGCTGCCCTGCCACAAGGAAGAGACCCCTCCATGGGGGCCTCGGCAGCTGTGACATTGAGCTGTTCCCAGAGGAGACAGCTCACTTCCCACCAGGCCACGCCCTGCTGTGCTAGCTGAGAGGCGTGGCTGGGGCGGGGCATGCACGCAGGGGCGGGGCCTCCTGCAGGCACACACACTAGCCCGCTTCATTTCCGCGGGGAACACTGGTTTCTGCGCCCCTGGAGGCTGCTGGTGATGGAGCTGCTGGTGGCTGGCACTCCTCCACGCTCCTTGGCTCCTGGCACTGCGCCTTCATCTGCGTGAATATCAGCTTCCTAATCACCGGGGCTTGGGGACTGTGGGCCTGTGCACCTTGTCTTTAATCTCATTTAATTTTTTATTAAGCACGCTCAGGACCTCTGCTGCAAAAATGGTTTCTTTATCCTAAAGATTATTACCTTTTTAAAGTGCTCTTAGACTTTCATGAGTTTTTATTTTGTCTCTGAGGTTTCGTACTCCATATTCTAGGGCATTTTGTAATTTGGCTCCTTACCAATTTTATTAAAATCTTATTAAGATGTGCCGCACGGAAGTGTGTTCGTTTTATGTTGTAATTATATGCTTAACTCTCCATTTCTGTCATTTCTGTGTTGTCTGTGAGGCACACTACCTATGTTCTCATGCTCAGAGAACAGTTTGAGATTGCAAGCTCTGTGCTTTGCCCAGGGCTCATGGGTGGCGGCCTTTGTAGCCCAGTTTCAACATGCTGGGGGGAGGCTCTGCGCGCTGTCCGGTCGGCTCCCCTGCCCCGCCTCTCAGAGGGGCCGTTTGGTAGCTCCCAGGCCTCTTTCACGACCAGACTCTCTCAGTCCCGCTAGCGTCCTCTGCTGCTCTTACCTTATTTTCCAGGTCTCTTTCTCTAGAATTTTTTATTTATTTAAGAGGTGAGAGAGAGACAGATAGAAGACAGTTTTCTATTTGCTGGTTCCTTCCCCAAATAACTGCAACGGCTGGAGCTGGGCTAAAGCCAAAAGCCAGGAACTCCAGGCAGTCTCTCACATGGGTCGCAGTGACACAGTTGAAATATTACCTGCTGCCTCCCAGGATCTGCATTAGTGAGAAGCTGGCGTCAGGAGCCAGACCCAAGTGTGGAAACCCAGAGCTGTTATGGTGTGCAGATGGCGTAACCATTAGCTTAGACCCCCACCCCTAAATACCTCGTCTTTGCTCTCCTCAGTTTCTCTTTCCTCCTCCAAATCCTTTGCCCCTTGTTTGCTCCAGAACACACAAATCAGAAAGCATGTAGAGCAAAGAACCCTGGGGGTTGGCAGGGACTAAATTGCTGCTCGGGTGCCCGCGTGCTGGTGGAGTGTGCAGGTCGAGTCCCAGCTCTTCCACTTCAGGTCCAGCCTTCAGCTGATGCACACGCTGGGAGGCAACACGATGGCTAAGTGCTTGCTTGCATTCTTGCCAACCACCTGGGAGACCCAGATTTAATTCTTGGCTCCTGGCTTTGTCCTAGCTCAGCTGTTTGTGGGCATTTGGGGAGTAAACCAGTGGATGAGCGATCTGTTTCAATCTGTGTCTCTGTTTCTTTGCCTTTCAAATAAATGAAAATAATGTAAAAGAGAGAGAGACATACTTAGTTGCCCACATTATGGCGCAGTGAGTGAAGCAGCAGAAGATGGCCCGAGTGCCTGGGCCCCTGCTGCCCACATTGGTGTGCTGGATGGAGTTTCAGGCTCCTGGCTTCAACCTCTCCCAGCCCTGACCGTTGCATCCATTTGGGGAATGAACCAGTAGATAGACCCCCAACCCCCCAATCTCTCCCTGACTGCCTATCGGATAAGTAAATACGTTTTTTAAAAGACTCCATGCTAGAAACTAGGTTTACAAGTTGTGAGCCCTGTCAGTAAGGAGTGTGTAATTTTTATGTATGTCATATTTATGTCTAGGGGCTGTAACAGTAGTGCATCTAATTTATTTAATTTTTATACTACCTAATATTTTTCTCAGCTTGTTAAATTGAGTTTTAGTGAAAAGTCCCACTTTGGGGGGAGGTGCAGGCACTGACAGCCTGTGGTTGGCTTGCTGGGGGCCGGTGATGCTGTCAGTGTAGGTGGAAGGGGCTCCAACCTGTGAACTGTGCAGAACCTGACTTCCTGATGACTGCAGTGTGAGGAATTACGTCTTGGTCTCTGCTGTCACCGCTGAGTGGCGGAACTGTCCAGTCCGGAGAATTCTGCACATGTCAGGGTTCCCGTTAATAGAGCTTTGCTTTGAACTTTGCCTTGGGGAGAAACATTCCAGAAGGGAGGCGTTTTGAGCAGTCTTTTGCCTTGCAGGCATTACTAGATAATTGTGGTGCAGGGAGCCCGTATCTGAGGGCAGGGTTGCTGCCTGTCATGGCTAATAAATGACAATAAGGAAAGCAGCTTCCCTGACTGCTGGCGGAAGAACGATGTTTAACAGGCAAAATCTGAGAGTGAAATGATAGGAACTGCATTTCCCCAACACATGTTATGCCTTTCTTTTTGTTTGTTTGTTTTAGGAATCTGTCCTTATGACCCCTGAAGCCCCACAAGACCCAGCACTGAGAGTTATCTAGCACATTAGCGCTGTCTTCCCCACTTCAAAATACAGCGAAGTAAGACAGCAAGCGCAAAGCTGAGACGCGCTCCTGAACGCAGCTGTCGGCTTCTATGGCCAGTGATGTGAAGGTCCCCAGGGGCAGGTGCTTGCTGGTCTCCCAAGGCCCACTTCCACTTGAGTGTTGAACATACCTAGGTTAAGAAATAGATTGTTGCAAAAGGGCTGAAGGAAGGCTAGGAGATCATTTTGAATTGATTGATTGATTTATTTTTTTTAATTGGAAAGAACTCTCATCTGCTGGTTCACTTCTACAACAGTCAGGGCTGCATCAGGCTGAAGCCAGGAGCCAGGAACTCAGTTTCCCCTGTGGGTGGCAGGGATCCAAGTACTTGAATCATCACCTGCTGCCCCCCAGAGTCTGCAGTAGCAGGAAGCTGGAATCATAAGTGGAGCAAAGACTTGAACCCAGGCTCTCTGGTGTGAGATGCAGGAATCCCAAGTCACCCCCTGACCATTGCACCGAATGCTTGCCCCATTGTTTTCTGTCTCCACTTTCTTTTACCCCAAATTTTTTTTCAAGGAGTTTTCTTTCCTCCTTAGGACCGGTAAATAGAATATGTTCAGGTGTTGTTTGATTTGGGTTGATATGTCCAAATATATAGTACAGTTTTTTTTTAAAGGTTTATTTATTGTAAGGTTGATTTCTTTGAAAGAGTGTTAGAGGGTGGGCATGGGGGAGAGAGATCTTCTATCTGCTGGTTCACTCCTCAAATGATCAGGGCTGGGCCAGTCCAAAGCTAGGAGCTTGCAACTCCATCCAGTCTCCTGTGGGTGGCAGCGGCCCAAGTGCTTGGGCCATCTTCTGTTGCTTTTGCAGGCACATTAGCAGGAGCTGGATTAGAAGTGGAGCCCTGATAAAACATTTGAATGTTACAGTTAACCTCTTTTTTTTTTTTTTTTTTTTTTTTTTAAGTAGGGCCATTCTAAACATCGTAGTTTCTGCAAATCGGTTCTTAGGAGGCCTGCCTGAAGGTCAGGGGAAGGACCCTCACTCAGAGGAGGGGCGGAGCCTTTGCAAACGTCCTTCCTGCAGGGGAACCATGCTGACTGGAGCGTGAGTGTTGGCTGTGGGGGTCCAGGCAAAATAACCTGCAGCCCAGGACGTTCCAGAGCCGGGACAACAGGTGAGGGCTGCCCCAGAATTTGCGAAGACCTATGTGTGGCTTGCCTTACAACTGGTGAGGGAGCCTAACGCCATTTCATCATGAGAGTACATCAGTCTCCAAACAGTAGCTGAGGGCCTGCCATGTATTCGCATCTCTGGTGATCCTGGTTCCGGGTTAGCATGGATTTAGATGGCTAAATACCAGAAATGTTAGATCGGCTTTACCAACCCCTTTAGTAAGCTAACTTAACGCGTCCCACGTAGCTGAGCCATGAAGGTGCGACCTACACTTCACTTCCTCTGTGAGCGGGATGCCTGCCTTTTATGTCCACATCCATTGGAGTAAGGCCAGTGGGGAGAAGGTAGGAGCCCGTGTGAACTGCACAGGAGCCTGCTTCTTTTTTATTTTATTTATTTGAAAGGGAAAGGGAGACAGAAAGATCTGTCTTTATTCTCCAAATGCCCACAATAGCCAGGCCTGGCCCAAGCCTGGAGCTATGAACTTAATCTGGGGCTCCCACGTAAATGGCAGGGACCAAACTACTTGAGCCATCACCTGTGACATGGGTATTTCATGCCAAACACCCAGGACCTCACCTGGTTCTTTCAGAGGGAGAAGGAGGACACATTCTGAAGTCCTTCATTTAAAAGTGAGTTCAGGCGGCCGGCGCTGTGGCACAGCAGGTTAAAGCCCTGGCCTGAAGCGTCTGCACCCCACGTGGGGCCGTTTCTAGTCCCGGCTGCTCCTCTTCTGATCCAGCTCTCTGCTATGGCCTGGGATAGCAGTAGAAGATGGCTGAAGTCCTTGAGCCCCTGCACCCGCATGGGAGAACTGGAAGAAGCTTCTGGCTCCTGGCTTTGAATTGAAACAGCTCCTGCCGATGTGGCCATTTGGGGAGTGAACCAAAGGATGGAAGTACCGCTCTCTCCCCTTCTCTCTGTAACTCTGCCTCAAATAAATAAATAAATCTTAAAAAACATTTCCAGAACTCTTTGCATCTTGCAAAACTGACACTTCTACAAGACAACTCCCACTTCCCCCTTGGACTTTCTGTGTGGATTTGACTGCTGCCAAGTACCTTGTACAGGTGGAATCAGAACTGCCTCTTTGTGAGTGGGTATTTCACTTGGCATCATGTCCTCAATGTCCTCGGCTTGTGGCACTTGTCAGAATTGCTTTCCTTTTGAAGGCTAAAGAAGCTGTTCAGACGCTGTCTCCCCCCCCCCCCCCCCCCCGCTTCCTGTGACCACCCACCGGCTCCCATGCACCTTTCAAGACCAAGCTGGGGCCCCGCCTCTGGGTCAGCCTCCCCAGACCTCCTGGCTGCAAGGGACCTTCTCTCCTTTGAAATCCTGTGCCGGTTATTGTCAGCAACGATCTTTTTGACAGTGAATCCTGTGCTGTTTTATGACATCTTTCCCCTGTCTAGAACCGTTATTGAAACATTTCATTGAACTTTTCACATGTGTCTCTCTCTGCTCTAACTCCATTGTAGACTCCACAGGTGCGTGTATGGCGACTTGTGTGCCTACCCTCCCCGCACTGTTTCCTCGGTGGCTTCTGCAGGGGGATGGAATCCACATTTTAAAAATATTTCTACATAAAAGTTATGCACCTGATTGCACTTTAATTCAGTGAAGTAGCTGATCAGGAGCCAGCTTCCTAAATTATTTTTTTCCATGCCGATTTCCTTGTGAATGGCTTGAAAAAAAATTGTCATTTAGAATGTACAAGAAAGAAATCTTCCTGTTAGCATCCAGGGTTAATGGACACATTTGTCTTTGAGAGAGAAGGGCAATTACTATTTAAATGTCTCATATGTAACTTGT